TTTCAATATAACACAAGTGAACTTGTGTTGAAAATTTATTATAACGAAAATCAAGCAATGAAAGTAAAAGTTGTATTTTGAAAAATAAATCAAGTCAAGTCACATAAATCAAAGACGAGTTTTATGCTCACACACGGACACATACACAAACGTTTTGGTAACTCGGCATAGTCCTGAGTAAAACTATATATTTTCTTGATGACGGAATGTCCAGTGCATCTGATATTCACGCCCGGGATTGTCCACGGCGGATCTAAAACTAAACGCTCTCACACAACATACGAGATTAAATTTCACTCAAACTCTTTGAGGTAGAGGATTGACACTAATTTCTTAAATAAATATTGAGTGACAAATTACTTTTTACTGTATAAACATTAATTGACTGATAAATAATTTTCGACATATGTTAAAAACAGGCATTAAAAATAATTCTATTTATAAATTAAAATTCTGTTACATTTTAAATAAATTTAGTAAAATTTACTTTGTGACAAATATAATTAAGTGAATTTAATCACACAGTACAAAAAATACACAATCCTGGAACCAAGCCCCATTGACTAATATTTGAGTAAGGTATATCTGTCTAAGCATAAACCAAAGAAGACCGAGTACGACATTTTTTTTCTTATTTATGCATGATCATGAACCGATGTGTTTATGTCTTATAAAACAAATATATGGTCAGATGCAGCAGAATGTGTTTTTACTCTTTACACGTAAAAGCAAGCATATACCGGTATTACTTAATCCAACTTTTATTTTGTAAGAGACATTTTCTGTCATAAATGATGTTTTTTTTAAATTAACTTATATTATTTAAGATTTATATATGTATGTATGATATACCGGTAATTGTAGGTCATTAATTAGAAGTATATATATAATGTTGCGGGATCAATGTACAGAAGCGAGTTGTGGGTCAGTATACAAGTATAATTCTGTTCCATTTCTGGCTGATTCGATATGTATGGTAATGAGTTTTAATCGGCAATTGTCTTATTGATAAAATATAGCGATATTGATCACCCGAAATTTAATTTCAAAGAAATGTAGCGTAAATAAATTGTAATTTTCGCAATGTAGCAGTAATGTTGACCTCCCCAAAGATATAGAAATTGCGGGATCCAAATACAGGCAACTATACATTATTCTGGGTCAATACATTGAATAATATAGAACACCGTCGGATACTGAGTATATACTTTTCCATCTATAAAATGTAAAATAATTCTTGATTTGATTACACTTCCCTTAAATCTTAATGTGTGATATTTTTTTCTGAATAAACCTAAATTTGTAAATGATTTTCTGAGAGTTCGACCTAAAGTATATTTTTAATTATCGAAACATCGCGATTCACATCTCACGCGCGATCTTTATAGAAACATTTTAGTCGTTTTTTTTTTCTTTTTAAAAATGTGATTGAATTGATCTAATTGTAGCTTTCTTTCACATCTTTATAAGAATTTATATTTAGATATATAAACTTTAGGAAGAACACAACTATCGTACGATAAAAGGTTTAGAATAAATTAGCCTTTTTTTTTTGTAGATTTATACAATGTAGTACATTAAAAACAATAGCTCATACATATAAATAGAAAAATCGTTAAGATTTAACAATGATTCACTGCAATTAGGCTATAAAATCTAGCCGTTTTCCCTTATCCCTCCAATACTCATGGGAAAGTATATAAAATATTGTGGGTCACGCGCGAAATCCTGCCAATGCACTCAGCGGTAAGATTTCATATATATAAAATTGCATTGTGGGTCATTTTTTGATTGTGTAATTATGGGTCAAAAAAATTTTTTTTGTAAAAAATGAATATACTTACTATTTTATTATCATAAACAAAATTTTAGGCACATGGTTTGTGGGTCAATATATAATGACCCATAAACCATGCATGGTACCCACAACGTGAGTGAAAAAGATGCAAAATAACCCACAATCCGCATGGCACAAAACTATATATATATATATATATATATATATATATATATATATATATATATATATATATATATATATATATATATATATATATATATATATATAACACTTTTAATACTTTGACCTTGGTTTTTGACCTACTTTTTACAAACGAATCGGAGTTTATCCTACCTTTAAAAACGCCTACCTTGGCCGTAACCTTTAAACAGGTGGTGCAAGGGTTTTCTATGTTATATTTGTATTTCTTGGAAAGGCCTTACTTTATGTACCAACATATGTGATCTGAACTGAAAAAAAAGTTATTTAGATTTTTTTTTTTGCTTTCTACAAATCTGATTTTAAACTTTAAAAAAAAACTGCACATTAAATCTGGAAAATATATTTCTGCAGTGTATCAAAATTGTTCAATTCGAATTTCACCCATAAACATTATATTCATATGTTATTCAAATTGAAATAAAATTTGGCCTAGGTTTGCTTATGCTCGTTAGAAAATATTCTATTGTTACAAATACCACGACGCAAAAAGGAAAATACTTTTCCTTCAAATGTCTACTGAATTTGGATACAGCGGATCAAATCTTATAATTTTTAGAGCATTCTGGATGTAAAGCAACGACTCATGTTGTATCGGTGGTGTTTCAAATTTGAGGATGATATAATTTTTTTCTTGTCCTTTTCTGCAGAAGTTGATCTCAACGGTTCATTTGCATTTCGTGCCAATGTTTTGACATTTGACGACAATGAAAGACTCATTTTTGATAATTGGACACCAGTGACGTATCAGAACTGGAATCCTAACGATGAGGGCGAGACAGCAGTTGACCCAATCTTTGGCCTCCTTTTGACTTATCATAACGACGGCAGGTGGCGCTGGGTGACTGAGAGAAACTACACGTACTATACAGGAGAAGACGGACTAAAACTCCCCTTTATTTGTGAGGATTCTCCATTTTATTTGGAGCATGAAGAGTGTTCTGTTACATAATGATTCATTCTCTCTAAATTAAAATAAACATTTGCAACCATTATCTTTTGTTATATAATTTCATTAACAATGGTGTATTTAGTTCTAAATCATTAAATGGAGTATTCTTAAGTTAACGTTGGATCGTACATTCCTCTCCTCGGAAGAGATCTAAATTTACCCTTGGATTGTATATTCGTCTCCTCGGAAGTCATCTAGATTTATCCTCGGATCGTACATTCCTCTCCTCGGAAGAGATCTAAATTTATCCTCGGATTGTATATTCGTCTCCTCGGAAGAGATCTAGGTTTATCCTCATGTTTTAAATAAACTATGAATAGCATGTACAGAAAGACAAGCAGTGCATTATATTGTTTCGTTATTTTCCCAAGGAAACTGACTGGGATCTCCTCTAACCATACATACAAACATTTTAGCACAAAGTGTTGTTTTTAAAATCTCTATCCGTAATCCAAAAAACAAGGGGCAAATATATTTTCCTAGGACGGTCGGTCCAGTTGTCTGTTTGTTTGTTGTTGTTTTTTTTTCCTGATTTATCTGTGGTAAATCAATTAGCCCTGACTACAGCCTTTAATTGGTTTGAGCTATGAATTTCATATTTCACAGGTTTTTATCTTTATTTTGACGTCAATTTCGAATTCGAAATTTGAGCCTTGGTCATATGAACTATGGCTTTAATATTTCACTGGTGTATTCAACGTGTAAAAACTTTTCCTAGGGTAAAGTATTTTTGACTTTGACCTTTATGTTTGACTCTCTTTTAAAGAAGTTTTCTAAATTTTATTCTTAGCCATAGCTACTACACGGTTAAATCAAGTGATATCATACTCTTCACACTTATATTTTGATAAGACCTTCTCCTGAGTACAAACAGTAATGACCTTTAACCTTGATCTTATGGATTTGACCTACTTTTCAAAAACGTTAACTTTGGATGTATTTACTGAAAATTTAGTACAAGGGGTTAACCATTTTACCGGTTCATTTCTTGTGGTAAGAGCTTCTCTTGAATACCAATATTTTCTTTTTATTTTTTATCCTTTTATTTGGACATCAGACTTTGACCTTCTTTTGAAAAACTTTGGTGATAACTTTTGAATGGTTGATTCCGTGACTTTTATATTTCACCTGTGTATTCTTTCTGAAATTCTTTTGGGTATCATCAGTATTGACTCCTTGACCTTGTCCAGTTTGACCTACTTTTGAAAATCTCTAACTTTGGTCTTTAGTACTGAACTGTCGCTGCTTATTTGTTTTTTATTTTAGAAGGTAGACTCATTGTGAGGAACTTTTCTTTTGGTACCAAAACTAATTTTATATTGACCTTGGTGTTTGACCTGCAAACGACAACATTCATCATGAGCCTCTTTGTTTCACAAATTTATCTTGAATTTTTATCATTACCTCCTAAAACTTTTCCTATTGATTTAATAACAAATTTCAAGTTGTAGTCAATCAAATTTTTGGATATATATATATATATATATATATATATATATATATATATATATAGATATAGATATAGATATATATATATATATATATATAAACCAAAGTCTACACATTGCATAATAGAGAATGACTTGTCATATTGAATCATTTATTTTAAAAGATGTAGTCTCATAATTGCAAAAGTATTTGCAAACATATTGATTAATGTTAGCTCGCTAAGTTTTATTTGCAAAGACAGTTGCAGATATAAGATAACATCTTTCCAAAAATAATGAGTCAGTGCTTTTTTTCTAACTCCTTGTCTTGTTTTGCAAATTTGATTTCTTCTTCAACTTACATGAATTATCTCTAACCTAAATAACAATGAATTTAAATAATTTCAAATTTTGGGTTTCGCTTATGACATTCCCCTTGCATTGTGTCAATTGAATGGCGGACACCACAGTGAAATGTATCGCAAATGTGTCGGATTAAACAGGTTCCGCTGTAATAGGTTTGACAATAAAGTAATCTACATCCTAATTCTCCGTCCAGACATCTTCATTTATTAGTGTGAATAACAACGAAATATTTCTAATTTCAAATTTATTACAACATATATAAAGTACATCATTTGCAGAATACAATCAGTAGAACAAGATCACAATCATTTATTGCTTTACATAATCCTTCATCCCCTGAAAACATATTTGTTTAGTCACTTCATGTCAAACAGTCTTACAGAAAAAGAACCCCGTGATAAATGTTAAATTTAAAACCGTCTCTTGAATCAAACTGGATTCGTCTAATTGATCGATGATCTTTCGTCTGTTAAGAAAAAATAGAATTAAATTAATGTTTCACAGAAATAAGGACATATTTCACTTTGAAAAACCTCTTATAACCTTTTGAAATTTTCACAGTAATACGAAAAGAAAGAAAAAAACTATGTTATATTAGGATTTAATGATGTTTACCTAGTGACGTCTGACCATCATGAGGGTCTCCTTTATCTGTTTACTATCAGTCACTGTAGGATACCATGGCCAGAGCCAGTACCCCGGGGACCACTGACCGTTAAGGAAGGCGTCGGCACACCAGTTGAACCACCAGCCTCCTCTACGGTTACTGAGAGCAGCACAGTTACCTAAATACCCGTCGTTATCCCTGTCTGGGGTACTGAAGTACATCCCAGACAGATCGGTCCTAGAATCACCAGTGTGTAACATAGAGTCTCCTGTAGAAAAAATGAAAATTTAATATTTGTCCTACACAGTGCATTTAAAAAGGTGTGATATGAAATACTAAGTAAATCATTAATAACGAGATCAGATATGGTGTATCTGTGAATGTTATAAGATGGTAGATTTCCTATTAAATTAATGTAAATGTGAAACGCGTTGAGGTCTTTTGAATTTGGCTTTTTAAGCTTTTTTTATTTGAAATTTTATCCGATCAAATTTTTTTTGTCATCAAATTTTCGTAAACCTTTGGACATTTAAGATCAATGACACACTGTAGACTTCCTATTCCGTAGTAGTAAAAAATGTTAATCATTGAAAATCAGACTATCATGTTCTGTAAACTTTTTCCGTATAAGTTACAATGTGAATTATAAAAAAATATCTGGAAACCCAAGCTGAATAACAATGTTGAACTAATGTAATTTTGGGATTTGTCTGTTAAAAAAAATAATATAATTTTCTTTGTACATAAAATGTATAATTAGAAATTGTTTACACTTGACAATTAGAAATTCAATATCAGCTGCGTATGTTAATTGTACCGGCCAATGATATTCTGAAATGTTAAACATGTTTAATTAGCATGGAATCAAAAACGTTAAGAGATTATCAGAAAAAAAACACATCCTTTTCTTTTTTAAAGAATTTTATGATTTATCAATACACAAAAGTATCATTTTAATGATATACGTAATTTGAACTTAATTTCAAAGTATGTCATTCGTCAGCTTATTAGAAAAGTTCACGTTGGACCTCTTATCTAAAAAAATTCATTAAAATACAATTATTATAACATACTTTAATTCAACAATGTTAATGGTTTAACAGTCAACAAAAACACTACTCAAAAAGCTACAAAGAAGCAAGTTTTATAAGGGACTACTTCTTGTGGTTGAAGAATACGTGTAAGCAGATAATTCTGCAAATCTGCACATTTTTTAAATTGAATATCCTATAACTTTAGCCTCACATACTTTTACTCGGAGATATGTTCCGTTATGATATTACTGAAATATTTAATATAGGTTTGGATATATATTTTAAGAACACGTTTTACACCTTCTTTCAACAAACTTTGCCAAAAAATGAAGATATGTCTAATAAGTCAAGATAAAATTTACAGCATTTTTCACCCAAAAATCACATATTTTGACTAATATTTCAAATTTAACATCACTGACCCGAACTTTTTCTTTCATTTTTTTAAAGTACTCGATTCTTGTGACTAATCAGCACAAAAGTGGAAAAAAGATTGATTAATAAAATGTTTTATTGCCTTTCAATTAATTTGATACACCAAAAATGTTACTTTTTTGGTGCAAAAAGGTCACACAATAATTTAGGCGCATTAATTTGCAAGTTTTGTTCAATGATAGGTATTATTAAAACTTTTTTTACGTAAAAAAAAAATTAATTTATTGCCTTGGTTACATCTGGTAAAATATGATAAAGGTTAACTCAATTTTTCAAAATTTAGAGTTTGAGTGCAAAAAGGTCAACTCAATTATATCGTAGATCAATAGGATGCACACTGACCCCCTATTTCTTTTGCAATTTTGAGTCACACTATATGAGAACTTATTTAAAATATACTTCTAAAAAATCCTTGATTTAACAAATTTCACGTGTGACATACCTTTAGAAATTAACATGGATACACTTACCCAAGGTTCCCGTGGCAGGTCCTGCAAGAAAGAGTTGATATTTTCCTGCTTCGTCGGAGACAGAGAATCTGTCGTACGTTTCATACAGCGTTGTACCATTTTGTAGAGTTATTGTCACGTACAGGGATGAGGTACCTTCTTTGGTTAATTGATGGATTACATCATTTCCTGATTTAAGATAATGATTTTCTTCTTTTCTTTTACTCTTTATTTGATATATCAGTCTAACATGATATGTATATATCGTAGAACACATATTACCAAGTATTAAGCTCAGATCTTTATTATGCTTCAATCTATTACCTGACACATGTATTTTTTTTTTAATTTTGAAGGAATAAAAGTTCCTATTTGCAAGTAATTTACACTTACCAACCCAGACATCCTGTTCTGGGGCGCCAAAACCATTTTTATATTCCGTCCAGGTTCTGTCAAAGTCCAGGGTTCCATTAATTCGTTTTTGGATTGCCTTTAAAGTTAACACGTATAGCAAATCATTGTTTTCAACATTTGAGGGATCAATATATATGATATAATCTAAGAATATTTATACTTTTTCAGTCCATATTCCGTTAAACAACAAAACATTGAGTGTGAAATAAATTGTATAATATGCCTTTATATTAAAATAAACAACAAACCGTCCATCCCCCGCCCATTGTAGTCATATCGCAGTACGCCGGGACAGGACTGGTAATGGTACCATAGGGGTAGATTTCATACACCCCTGAATTAAAGTATCCATCTGATTGAAGATCCTTACAGTCTATTGGAGTGACTAAAGCAGAAAAAAACTCACAATCCATAAAAAACTAAAAAGTAATACAGGAACCATAATATGTGTATACAATGTACAGAAATAACTCATAAAATGTAATACTGGAATCATGCTATGTATATACAATGTACAGAAATAACTCATAAAATATAATACTGGAATCATACATTGTATATACAAGAATTAAGTGAGAGGAGTGACGTTATCTCTTAATTAAAGCTAATATATGAACTACAATGTAAATTTTGTTAAGCATGTTTTTATTACGGAAATTGAAGTGATTACAAATAATAAGAAAGGGCTATTACTTAGAACTAATTAATGATATTGAGCAATAAAGATTCATGATATTTATCTAATTTATGGTGAGTAAAAAAAGTAAAATAACAGATATACATACAGTCACGTGAGTAGTATCTCCATCCATCCTCATCTGATGCTTCAGACATGAGGTTCCTCTTGTGGGTTCGACATTTTTTCATTTGAGAGTGGAAACCAAAGATACTACACTCGCTTTGACAACGCGCTGCACACTCTATTACTGATGTTGAGTTGTGTTCTCCTAAAGGTTCTTCATTTGACTTCTTATCATTGAGTTCCAGTTTGGCTTTGTATTTCCTCGAAATAATAGTAGACTGGCACACGTCAAAAAAGACCAAAACTAAAATTATTGCACAAAGAGCGCCCATATCGTAACTTGTACTTAGAACTACTGGCTTCGTCGTTGGGTACCTGTAGAAATATGCTACGTAGTATACCAAATACAAAATATAAATATCAAATAAACATCAGTTACGGAAAATGATTGGATAATGGTTACGTACATCGTATGTTTCATTCATTTAAATATTGATTTGTTGAATCTGAAATAAACTAGTGATTATTGTAACGGGAACCGTTACATATGTTCCCCAAACGCTCCCCTAGTCACTTTTCGTACCCTTGTAAAGAAAAGTAATTCCCCCATAGAATATTGACGAGGGTTATTTTTTCGACGTCGAAAAATAACCCCTGCTCAATATTTTACGGCAATAATTGCCACCGGTCATTATTCGACGTCGAAAAGTATCATCACTCTTAAAACTTGCATAACCCAAGTGACAAAAAATAACCCCCGTAGAATAATGATTTCTTGTGGATTTAGGTTGAAATTTTTACAGGGCAATAAAAATATTTTTTAAAATGGGCTGAATAGGAAATAAATTGGTTATCTTGATCTCATTAAATTACACAATTATTGCTACTTTAAAGCGTCTTTAATGCCATGATTCAGAATCTAAAAGAGTAAAAGATTTATCGAGCCTTATGGGCTAGGTGAACATTGTTTGATTATGGAGAGTCATCGTACTGGCTGAAAAATGCAGTATTATATAACTAGTTTTGTACAACTGTCGAAAAGCGGGAGAAAATGTAGGGATGATTATGTCCCTCTGTTTTTTACGCTTTGAGTTAACCCTTAAAGTTCTTTATCTTATTTCTCACCATTCAGATCCAGTGTTGCGATGTATTTCCCGAAATAATAGTAGACTGAGTCATCGCAGAGAAATCAAAAATGAAATAGATATCCAAATGAGTGACTATATCGTAATATGTATTTGAAAAAAATTCACTTATTGCTGGATACCTGTAAAAATTTGCAATGAAGTAAACCTCACGCCAAGTATTAACATATCAGGACATTTACTAGTGAAAAGTGATTAACTTACTATTACCTAGACCGTATGTTTCATTCATTAAGATATTTATTTGTTGAATCTTATATGAATTACAACCCCACAATATGCTATGCATTCAAACAACCAATTTTTGCAGCATTAAAATTGCATTTAAAGTAAAATTTAACACGAGCTTTCATACAGTGACCCATTATACAGTAATACAACATTTACAGTTCTCCACCTCCCGCCCATTGTTGTCATGTCAAAGTAATGACATACAAGACTAGTTATTGTCGTCATGTCACAGTAAACACAGACAGGACTAGTAATTGTCGTCATGTCACAGTAAACACAGACAGGACTAGTAATTGTCGTCATGTCACAGTAAACACAGACAGGACTAGTAATTGTCGTCATGTCACAGTAAACACAGACAGGACTAGTAATTGTCGTCATGTCACAGTAAACACAGACAGGACTAGTAATTGTCGTCATGTCACAGTAAACACAGACAGGACCAGTAATTTTTGTCATGTCACAGTAAAACACAGACAGGACTTGTTATTGTCGTCATGTCACAGTTAACACAGACAGGACTTGTTGTCATTTCACAGTTAACACAGACAGGCCCAGTAATTGTCGTCATGTCACAATAAACACAGACAGGACTAGTGGTTGTCGTCATCACACAGTGAACACTGACAGGACTAGTAATTGTCGTCATGTCACAGTAAAAACAAAAAGGACCAGTAATTGTTGTCATGTCACAGTAAACACAGACAGGACTTGTAATTGTCGTCACGTCACAGTAAACACAGACAGGACTGGTAATTGTCGTCATGTAACAGTCAACACAGACAGGACCAGTAATTGTCGTCATGTCACAGTCAACAGAGACATGACTAGTAATTGTCGTCTTGTCACAGTAAACACAGACAGGACTAGTAATTGTCGTCATGTCACAGTAAACACAGACAGGACCAGTAATTGTCGTCATGTCACAGTAAACACAGACAGGACCAGTAATTGTCGTCATGTCACAGTAAACACAGACAGGACTAGTAATTGTCGTCATGTCAGAGTTAACATGGACAGAACCAGTAATTGTCGCCGTGTCACAGTAAACGCAGACGGGACTAGTAATTGTCCTCATGTCAAAGTCAACACAGACAGAACTAGTGATTGTCGTCATGTCACAGTAAACACAGACAGGACTAGTAATTGTCGTCATGTCACAGTCAACACAGACAGGACTAGTGATTGTCGTCATGTCACTGTTAACACAGACAGGACTAGTGATTGTCGTCATGTCACAGTAAACACAGACAGGACTGGTAATTGTCGTCATGTCACAGTAAACACAGACAGGACCAGTTATTGTCGTCATGTCACAGTAAACACAGACAGGACTAGTAATTGTCATGTCACAGTAAACACAGACAGGACTAGTAATTGTCGTCATGTCTCAGTAAACACAGACAGGACTTGTAATTGTCGTCAGCTAACCGTGAACACAGACAGGACTAGTAATTGTCGTCATGTCACAGTAAAAATAAACAGGACCAGTAATTCTTGTCATGTCACAGTAAACAAAGACATGACTTGTAATTGTCGTCATGTCACAGTAAACACAGACAGGACCAGTTATTGTCGTCATGTCACAGTAAACACAGACATGACTAGTAATTGTCGTCATGTCACAGTAAACACAGACAGTACTAGTAATTGTCGTCATGTCACAGTAAACATGGACAGGCCTAGTTATTGTAGTCATGTAACAGTAAACACAGATGGGACTAGTAATTGTCGCCATGGCACAGTAAACACGGACAGGACTAGCGATTGTTGTCATGTCACAGTAAACACAGACAGGGCTAGTTATTATCGGCCGCAGCAGCGGCCGATCGATTTGTGGTTGTGTTAGAAAGTGCACATGGGAAAATGAGATGTTATTATTTTATTAGGTCAGTAAAATAATTTTCAAATGATAACATGTATAAAATCATGAGTAAAATATTTTAAAAAACTTGCTTTAAATTAAGATTTAATCGTTGTTATTTTGTTTCAATTTCATTATCATTTGGCAGCAGATAATTGATAATTTATGGTTAAATAAAAAGAGTTTACAATAGGTACTCCCCATCCAGGGAGTGTGTAAGATATAAAAGGAAATCGTTATGATTTTCCGGATAATAGTGAATTGCACGTGGTAAAAGTGCATGGTGAATAAAAAATTGGAAAGTTGCTCTACTAGTAAAAACTTGTTTGAAAATGCTACAGCTGCGAATGACACAAAGATTATTTTTATACATTTTGCACCGCACCATGCAGCAGTGTATCAGCACGTGGTATATCTTTAAAGGTAAACATCTTCATTTTGATAACAATGATTTCTCATATCATACGCGTCGGAACCGGGGGGGGTGGGGGGGGGGTGTTAGCTCCCCCCACTGTTTTGCAAATATGTACATTATATAGGCTTTGAAAATTGGCTTTACCATTTTTTGTTGGTTTAGCCCCCCCCTTTCAGTTTGCCCACCCCACCCCCGACCCACTTTCGATGTGCATCCGACGCCCATGCCTATTCATCATAGATTTTTTTACATCAATAAATCCATTGGATGAGCAAATGCACTAAAATTTCTAGTTTAAAATATATTTTATTCATTGAATTGGAATGAACAGCAGGCATGATACTAAAATTTCTATCATTTCTTTAAAAAATATTTATCTGTTTATTTTGCTTTAAAGACGGCCTGAAATAAACATGATCAGTATTTCAGCTTTGAATATCCTGTTCTTTTCTTGCATGAATGCTTTGAATTGTGAAAGTGCTTTTTTGACATGTTAAATATGTTAGCGGCCGATTTCATGCTTTGCATCAATTAACTTGTTGTAGTCATGTAACAGTAAACACAGACAGGACTAGTAATTGTCGCCATGTCACAGTAAACACGGAGAGGACTAGTGATTGTCGTCGTGTCACAGTAAACACAGACAGGACTAGTTATTGTCGTCATGTCAAAGTAAACACAGACAGGACTAGTAATTGTCGTCAAGTCACAGTAAACACAGACAGGACTAGTGATTTTCGTCGTGTCACAGTAAACACAGACAGGACTAGTAATTGTTGTCATGTCACAGAAAACACAGACAGGACTAGTAATTGTCGTCATGTCACAGTAAACACAGACAGGATTAGTAATTGTCGTCATTTAACAGTAAACATGGACAGGGCTAGTAATTGTCGTCATGTCACAGTAAATACAGACAGGACTAGTAATTGTCGTCATGTCACAGTAAACACACACAGGACTAGTAATTGTCATCATGTCACAGTAAACACAGACAGGACTAGTAATTGTCGTCATGTCACAGTAAACACAGACAGGACTAGTTGTACGTTTCGGAATTGTACATTCCGTCCGTATCGTTTCGGACTTTATTATTTCGTAAGTAATATCCGGTTTGAGATGCATGGACTCCTCAACGGCGAAACAATGTCATGTATTTAGCCCGTCAATGTGTGAGTTATTTAGTATTTAAAACATGACTGTTAATAATAATGAGAATTGTATAATTATCAACAAACTGTTATTTATTGTAATAGATATCTATCCATTAACAGGTCGAAACAATAAAATGTTACTACATGACGGTGTGAATTTCTGAACTGACCAAGCGCAACATTTCGACACAGAGGGAACATGCCGCCACCCGAAGAGTCGAAAGATCCTGAGCTACAGGGCAAGAAGCGTCGACGTTCAACGCAAAAGGGCAAGTTTCACAGAATATACAACAGATTTAGAGAATTAGGTTATATGGAGGACCATGGTGTACTACAAAATATTCTTAGTGATCTAGAAAAGTCCTATAATGATTTAGAAAGAAGTCATGCAGAATATATAGAACTTTTAGATCTAGAAAATGAATTACAAGCAAGTGAACATGAAAATGTTGATAGAGACATGGACAAAATGTACAGTGAATTATGTGAGTGCCGTTTACATGTGACAAGATTAGCAGAAAAGATTAAACAAAAGGAATTAGAGACAAAAACAAAAAAGGAAACCGTTAAAGTTAAAAAACTTGATGCACCTTCATTTAGCGGTGCAATACGGGAATACCCAAGTTTCAAAAGAGACTATGAATGTATTATGGTACCATCGTATGGCTTAGACCCATTTGCTCTGAAAAAGTGCTTACACGGAGAGGCATTAAAAGTCATTCAAGGAGTGGATAATGATTACGAAGAAATGTGGCACAGACTGCAGTTAAAGTTCGGCAGACCAGAGAAACTAACAGATTCAATTTTGAGTGACATCCAGAAGCTCAAGGTCATAGCCGATGGGGACCATATCAGCTTTATAAATAGTGTAGAAGTGATTGAACGATGTTATTTAGATTTGAAACGAATGAAAATGGAGAGAGAGATGAATACGGCGACAATGGTAAACGAAATCGAAAAAATTCTACCCCCTGTACAAAAGAGAGAATGGGTTTTGCAGAAGAAAAAACACGCTGGGAAATTAGAGATATTTCTTCCATTACTTGAATTTCTGTTAGAAGAAAAGAATGCCATGGAATACATGCAATCAGAAATAAGGAATAACTCCGAAGCAAGAATCCACCATGTAGCAGAGACAAATTCACATTCTCCAGTTGATCAACTAAGTGTTCAGATGAAGCACAATCAAGAAGTCCTCCAAAAGGTTGTAGACGGCCTAGCAAGCATCAATGAAATTGTTCGTCAAGGACATCAAACAAATCAAAATCTACCAAGATTTAGTCGACCCTCGCCATCACAAAGGAGTTGTTGGTACCATAACAGTGATACACATGATATTTCTCAGTGTTGGAATTTCAACGGAAGGGATGTTGGTGCTAAAATGGACTTACTCAGAAAAAATCGAGGCTGTTTTATTTGTTTAAAAACAGGACATATCTCGAAATACTGTCCTCAAAAGAAAGGATGTGAACATTGTGGAAAATTACATCACTCATCACTGCATCAAGAAGGTCAAGAGGGAAATGTTGCTAACATTGTGAGAATTGTTAATAGCAAAGAACCTGGAGAAGATGTCCTATTTATGATTATTTAAATTGGATAATTGTAATTATGATTTATAACAACATATCGTTATATTTTATATTTAGAAGTCACGTGATGCGGCAGTAACGTTTTAACATTGACTTGAAGTATTTTTACATATAAATGTCACTAGTGCAACATAACCAAGTTAAATTTCCAAGTTTAGTATATAAATATTTTTAATACGCATTGTAGTTTCTAAAAAGTGCTGCGATCCTGTCTAAATTCTGCAATTTCATTGTTAAAATTATATTTGTATGACCGAATGCTATATTTTTTGCTGGTCAGCGGCATAAAATATTTATATAATTAAATTGTTTTTAAGATTTCATCAGGATCGCAGCACTTTTCAGATACCTTAATAGTCCTATAGTTGAAATGTAAAAGCTTACTTTGGTCCATAACTGATCATCACATTACCCTCCGATGTAGATCAATTAAAAACGTAGGGAAATATATTAATAAAACAGTTGCTAACAAATTATTTTATTTAATTAGAGAATTATTTTGTTAATAGCAAAGAACCACGTCACGGTGTAAGGGATCAGATTGTTTATAACTTGTAACGTTGGATTTAACTTATGATTTCACTGTGCAAGTTAAGTGTAACTTATATTTACAAGCTATCAACCTTCAGTGAAGTTAAGTGTAAGGATATTTTGATCAACTTTGTGGATCAAATATTTCGTTAATTTCACATCGTGCAGCAAGGAAACTTAATTTACAAGGAAAAGATGTAACCCTCAGTATCACGAAGGTGGGAAATGTTATGGAATAACTACATAGCAAAGAATATATAATCCCCTTGACAGACAAGGATGGCAATACCTGGCAAATTAAGGGATACGGTATGGAGCAAATTACAACAAATGCAGGCAAGATAGATGTTAGTGGAATAGCACAATTATTTAATGGAATTACAGACTCTGATATCTGCAGACCATGTGGAGAGGTTGATTTACTGATTGGATCAGACTGTAGCATTCTTTTACCCACAAGAGTTGACGGCGTCGGGAATCTTCAACTGATGAAAAATCAATTTGGTTATTGTGTGAGGGGAAGTCATTCTCTGATTAAAGTATCCGCAATGCCAAACTCGTTTTGTATCAATCATTTGTCGGGAAGTGAATTAAATTCCATGCATATCATGAATACTAAATCGCTAAAAGATCTGTTTGATAGTTTTCTAGATATTGAAAGCTTAGAAACCTACTGTCAACCAAGGTGTGGAGGGTGTCGATGTGGACATTGTGTTGTTGGTTCAGGACATTACACCATTGAAGAGGAGCATGAACTGAACATGATTGAGACTGGATTAAAGCATGATGATGCCAACAAATGCTGGACCATAAATTACCCATGGAAACGGAATCCTTCAGAACTGCCTAATAACATACAAGCTGTTATAGGCCGTTTACGGTCAACGGAACAACGACTGAAAAAAACTGGCGATGAACACACTCAGGAATATCAAAAACAGATAGATGACATGGTGCAGAGAAAGGCTGCTAGAAAATTATCACCAGAGGAAGTTACTTCATACAAAGGACCTGTGCACTATCTTCCACATCATGAGGTTTTAAAACCAGAATCATCATCCACACCACTTCGAATTGTGTTCAACTCTTCTGCTTCCTACATGGGTCATGTTATTAATGACTACTGGGCTAAAGGACCAAAAGTTTTAAATGATCTTCTTTCCATCTTGTTGAAGTTTCGAGAAAATCAGGTTGGTCTTGTAGGCGATATCTCCAAAATGTATAACTCGATTCATCTTTCCATAGAAGATCAGCATACACACAGATTTTTATGGAGAAATTGTGAAATCGACAGACCACCAGATCATTATGTGCTGACCAGTGTTCCATTTGGAGATCGCCCCAGTGGTGCTATAGCTATTATAGCTCTCAATAAAACAGCTGAAATGCTGGAAGATGTTTACCCCAAAGGCTGCTAGTGTTATAAAAAACAACAGCTATGTTGATGACATTTTAGCATCAGATCCCACATTTGAAAATGTATTGCAATTGGCTAAGGATATCAATCAAGTATTGGACTTTGGTGGCTTTCACATAAAGCATTGGATTATATCAGGAGACCATCATCAGGAAATTGATGAAATCAACATAATGAATGAATAGAAAAATCAGAAAAGGTGTTGGGACTAGTGTGGAAACCTGTTGATGATGTATTTACATTTAAAGTGCGATTGAACTTCTCCAGGAAAACAAAGCATAAAAGCCATGAAGAGAAATCAACCAATTAGTCGGAGGAAATTCCTGAAAATTTGACAAGAAGAATGGTACTCAGCCAAGTTGCAGGAGTGTATGACCCTTTAGGACTGATCGTTCCTTACACTCTTAGTGCAAAATCTCTCATAAGAAATTTATGCCAAGGAAACCAGAGTAAGTCTGAAGTGTGGGATAAACCTTTATCCGCAGAAATGAGACAACAATGGATAGAATTTTTCAATGGACTCTTTCAGTTAGAATCCCTGTGCATTCCCAGATGTTTAAAACCAACTAATGTCTTTGGAAATCCGGTCTTGGTGCTTTTTTCTGATGGCAGCAATCTTGCTTTTGGAGCGTGTGCGTACATAAGATGGGAGACTGCTTGGGACATTTATGACGTCAGATTAATTTTTGCAAAAAATCGGATTGCGCCAGTTAAGCAACTTTCCATTCCAAGGCTTGAGCTTTGCGGTGCTGTGCTGTCAGCTAGAATAAGGGAAAAAATTGTGGAAAGCATGACTTTTACATTTCAGAGAGTAATTCATCTTACTGATTCTGCAATTGTCCGTGCCCAAATTCAAAAGGAAAGTTACGGTTTTGGTACATTTGTCGCCAATAGGATAGCCGAAATTCAATCAAAGACACAAAAGGCTGAATGGTTTTGGATTCCTTCTGATCAAAATCCTGCAGATCTTACAACAAGGATTACACATCCCAGCATATTAAACAATGATTCAAGGTGGCAGAAAGGACCAGAATTCTTACACTATCCTATTGAACAGTGGCCAATGAAACAAACTGTTGATGTTTCAGAAATTCCAGATTCATTGGTGCACAGTGTGTTGACAGAAAATATTGAAGTGAAGCCAAAGGAATCCTCAACTCGGATACTGGAATTGATAGACACCACGAGAATCTCATCCTTGAATAAGCTGTATAGACTCACTGGTATTTTGCAACTTATATTCAAGGCGCACTCATTCAAGAAGATTCTGAAAAATGTGACAGCTGAAGTTATAAGAGAGGCTGAAAAGGCTTGGATTTTACATGCTCAAATGGACCTACCAAACAATGTTATGCAGAGGTTTCGACGTCTTGGCCCTGAACGAACAAAGGATGGAATTATTACAGTTGGACAAAGAATGAGTAAATGGATTGAAGAAACCTGGAATCAGTCCACATTTGCACTTCTTCCTACAAATCACGAATTTACAGAATATGTAGTGAAAGCAATACACGATGAAGATCATGCAGGGATTGACGTTACTCTAGGAAAGATCCGTAGCAGATTTTGGATACCTAAAGTAAAAAAACATTATAAGCAGAATTAAATTTAGGTGTGTAATATGTAGAAGAAAATTCAAATCAATGCAAGGTCAACAGATGGGTCCAATGCCAGAGACAAGACTTAAACCGACCCCTCCCTTCTACATGTGTGCTGTTGATTTGTTTGGACCTCTTGTAATCAAGGATGCAGTTAAGAAGAGGACCCATGGGAAAGGTTATGGTGTCTTGTTTAATTGCTTAGTTTCAAGAGCAGTATATATTGATGTACCAGAAGGATATGACATGGGCAGTTTCCTTATGGTACTACGACGTTTTGTTTCCATCAGAGGATATCCCAGAAAAATGATTTCTGATGCAGGTACTCAACTAATTGCTGCCGGGAAAGAATTACAAAAAGTTGTACATACTTGGGATTGGGAAGATATCAAGAATTTTGGGAAAGCTAGAGGCATGGATTGGCAGACAACAAAATCAGCGGACGCACCCTGGGAAAATGGTTGCAGCGAGTCGCTTATTCGTTCAACAAAACTTTCTCTTGAGACTGCCATTGGATCAGCAATTATGACATTTTCAGAGTTACAAACTGTTCTCTTTGAAGTTTCCAATCTACTAAATGAACGTCCCATTGGTACAAAAAATTGCGACCCTACTGAAGGTACATATCTTTGTCCGAACGATCTATTGTTAGGTCGGGCAAGCACCAGAGTCCCTGTAGGAGACTGGGATGATTGCAAGGACCCCAGAATAAGATGGAAATTTGTTCAGCGTGTGGTGAATACATTTTGGAGAAGATGGACACGAGATTTCTTTCATACCCTTATTATAAGACAGAAATGGAATCATGAAAGGAGAAACATTCAAAATGGTGACATTGTAATTGTTCAAGATTCAAATAATGTGCGTGGTCAATGGAAACTGGCACAAGTTTCGGAGGCAAACCCAGGAAGTGATGGAAAAGTTCGGGATGTAAAACTTAGATACAAAAATCTGAACCAAGATCCTAAATATTGTGGTTGTCCAGATACGGTGGTTTGCAGATCAGTTCGACGATTAGTTGTGATTCTTCCAATTGAAGAACAGGTGTAAATGTAAACTGTGAACATGTGAACTTTTTCATATCCCCGGACAAATGGTGGGGGGAGTGTACGTTTCGGAATTGTACATTCCATCCGTATCGTTTCGGACTTTATCATTTCGTAAGTAATATCCGGTTTGAGATGCACGGACTCCTCAACGGCGAAACAATGTCATGTATTTAGCCCGTCAATCTGTGAGTTATTTAGTATTTAAAACATGACTGTTAATAATAATGAGAATTGTATAATTATCAACAAACTGTTATTTATTGTAATAGATATCTATCCATTAACAGGTCGAAACAATAAAATGTTACTACATGACGGTGTGAATTTCTGAACTGACCAAGCGCAACACTAGTAATTGTCGTCAGGTCACAATAAACACGGACAGGACAAGTAATTGTCGTCATGTC